TCTTCTCTTTCCTCTCTCTCTCTCTGTATCTCTACTTTCTCTCTTCTCTTTCTCCCTCTCTTCTCTCTCTCTCTCTCCTCTCCCTCTCCCTCTCTCTTTTTCTCTCTCTCTCTCTCTCTCTCTCTCTCTCTCTCTCTCTCTCTCTCTCTCTCTCTCTCTCTCTCTCTCGTCTCTCTCTCTCTCTCTCTCTCTCTCTCCTCTCCCTCTCCCTCTCCTCTCCCTCTCTTTCTCTTTCTCTTTCTCTTTCTCTCTCTCCCTCTCCTCCCCTCTCCCTCTCTCCTCTCTTTCTCTTTCTTCTCCTCCCTCCCCTTCTCCCTCCCTCTCCTCCCCTCAATCCATCTACCCTCTCTTTACTCTTTTCTTCCCCTTTTCGTGTAGGGAATGAAACAAACACTCACAATAACCATCCACACTTCGCCATACACACAGACAGCTCTTACTTCTCTCCGCCAACGAGGACAATCGGGCTGAACGGATTGAACGCCACGGAAGAAAGACTCAATCTCCTCTTGTGAGTGACGTTCTGAGAGCAGAGAGGGAGGCACTTGCGGAGGAAGAGGTCGTAGACGTAGACCCGGCCTTCGTCAGACACTCCTGCGAGGACGCTGCTGCTGTAGGGCGACCAGGAGAGGCAGGTGACGGGGCTGCCGAGGTCGAGGGTGACTACGGGAGCGCTGGAGGGCGAGAGAGAGAGAGAGAGAGGAATTATTATTATTTTTTTTTTTTATTTTATTTTTTATTTTTATTTTCTTTTTTTTTTTTTTACTTGATGGAGTCTTCGAGGATATGAATTATAAACGATTCTAATGATTCTGTTTTGATTGGTTTGATAAAGTATATTATTCATAACGTTGATATTTGTAAAGATATTAATAAATAAGCAGAGGTACGTCAAGGTCAGAACTCTGCTAAATAAGTTTCGAAATCGTCTCGAAAATCTAAACTAATTTCAAGAAGGTTTCTAAGTTTCATTCAAGACGTAATTTTGCCCTGACTGTACATAATATTAATTAATGATAATTAATAATAATAATAATAATAATAATGATAATAATGATTATATAATAATGATAATAACAAATTATGAATGACAATAATAATTATTCTATTGATGATAACACTATTAATTTTTAATAATATAATGATTATAATAATAAGAAAAATAATCATAATAAGAGTAATACTAATAATTATCATTATCCTTATTATCCTCATTATTATCATCATTACTAAAATAACGATGATAATGATAGTAACAATTATAAATTATAACAACTATATCAACAAGATAAACAAATGACTAACAAGCAGTTATAGAGCCATATCTTTACTAATAATTATCAGTATCATTATTACCATCATTACTAAAAAAAAGGATGATTAACGATAACAACCTATAACACCTACATCAACAAGATCACCAAATCACTAACAAGCAATTATAAGACCATATCTTTACTAATAATTACAGTATCATTTTATCATCATTACTAAAATAACGATGATAACGATAACAACCACTATAACAATACATCAACAAGATCACCAAAATCACTAACAAGCAATATAGAGCCATATCTTTTAATAATTACCAAGTATCATTATTATCATCATTATCATCAATCATTACTAAAATTATAATGATGATGAGATGATAACAACAATTATAACAACTACATCAACAAGATCACCAAATCACTAACAAGCAATTATAGAGCCATAATCTTTACTAATAATTACCAGTATCATTATTATTCATCATTATTACCATCATTACTAAAAATACGATGATAATAACAACCATATACACAACTACATCAACAAGATCACCAAATCACTAACATAGCAATTATAGAGCCATATCTTTACTAATAATTACCAGTATCATTATTATTATCATTACTAAAATTATAATGATGATGAAGATGATAACAACAATCATAACAACTACATCAACAAGATCACCAAATCACTAACAAGCAATTATAGAGCCATATCTTTACTATAATTACCAGTATCATTATTATCATCATTATTATCATCATTACTAAATAACGATGATGATAATAATAACCATCATAACACACACAATCACCAATAACACTAACAAGCAATTATAGAGCCATATCTTTACTAATATTACCATATCATTATTATCATTATCATTACTAAAATTATAATGATGATGAAGATGATAACAACAATCATAACAACTACATCAACAAGATCACCAAATCACTAACAAGCAGTTATAGAGCCATATCTTGAGCGTCCAATCTATTGAACAGGTGGCGAAGACCCGGATGTGATGTCGATTCCAGGTGATGTTCCTGACGGCGCCCACGTGAGCCGGATAGCGAGTGATGCTGTGGTGACACGTCGTTCTCACCTGGAATATGGCCCCGGTGTCTACGCCAATCAGGAGCTCGCATTTGTCTCTCGGGCTAATTGCTATGCAGGTAGCAGCACCTTGGAGTAGTAGTGGGGGAGGAGGTGTTAGGAGCGGTTGTTGTAGTGTGTTGATAGGGATGGTGTTGGTTGTCAATAGGGGTGTTGTTGTGTTGATGGGGTGAGGGTGTGATGTGCATATCGTGTTTTTTTTATTTCTTATTTTATCTATCAATTTTATTTATTATCTAACTGTGATTACTTTATCATTATTATTTTATTTATCTATCTATCTTATATTTATTTTATTTATTTATTTTATCATTTACTCATTCATTTATTCATTAATATTTTAGTTATTTATCTTATTTATTTATTTATTTATTTATTTATCTATCTATTTTTGCGGCAACGAGCTCGAATTTCTAATTATAAAAATGAGTGTGAAAGGAAAGTGGACCTGTGAATATTTTCAGTACCTCGTATTTAGTTTTATAGTGAGGGAGAGTTGATATTGATTTGCACCATAACAGCCATTTCCTTATAATATTATCCGCCTTTTTCTTATAAAACCCGATTGACTTGAATACTTATAGACGGTACAGGATGATAAGTTATTTCCATTCTTTATAAATCCTCTGTTATATCCTTGGCATATTCGAGAACACATACGCATCACAAACACCCAAATTCTACGCCACACATACCTACAACTCAAACCATAAAGGCGAAAACACACTACATAAAACACCAATATCACCTTCGAGAACAGACTTCGTAGATCCCTGGGACAACTTCGCATTGAGTTCGCTGTCGTTGAAGTCAAAGACATCTTCGTGTTGGAGTGAGGACGACAACACCAGCCACTGGGAGATGCGGCCGTCTTGGGACACCGAGTAGAAGCACAGGTTCTCGCCAGGGTCTGTGGACACCCACTGGACCTAGAGAAAAAAATGGGGTTCCTTGATTCGAAGGTTTAAAAGGAGGAAGGTGTACTCATGTCCACATTCACACACACACACACACACACACACACACACACCACACACACACACACCACACACAGAGAGAGAGAGAGAGAGAGAGAGAGAGAGAGAGAGAGAGAGAGAGAGAGAGAGAGAGAGGAGAGAGAGAAGAGAGAGAGAGAGAGAGGAGAGAGAGGAGAGAGTGAGAGAGAGAGAACGAGAGAAAGGGAGAGAAAGAGAGAGAGAAATAGAGAAATAGAGAGAGAGAGAAAGAGAGAAATAGAGAGAGACAGAGACAGAGACAGAAAAAGCTAAACATAAAAACCAAAACATAAATACACTTCCTAGTTTTTTGCAGACTCTCTGCCTTATCTACGTGATATTCATACTACTCATGGGATTAGAGGTAAAGTAAAGTGTACATAATTTCCAAGTTAAGAAACATTATGCGGAATTAACGTCTCAAGATGATAAAGTCAGCTGATGTTATCTTTATATTACCTTTTTCCAACCATGTAAGTAGTTTGTCTTAAAATACAATTAAATTTACGTAATTAAGGAATAATGCTAGTGGAAACATAGATAGAAAGATAGAAAGAAATGTTTTATTGATAATGAGAGTTGCGAAAAAGAAAAGGTAGTGAAAACAGTAATTAAGTGAAACTACGAGTAAGAAAGAGGAGAGAGGGGGAGAAGAGAAAGGTGTACGAAGGGCAGTGAAATTATTTTTGTAAAGGAGGAAAGAAGGAAGGAAGCAAGAAAGGAGGAAGAAGAATGGAAGTGAATAAGAAAGCGAAGAAAAGGAAATTAAAAATGAGATAGGAAGGGATGAAGCGGAATATGGAAGAATATTTAGGGACTGAAGATAAGGAAGGGGAATGAGGAATGAGAATAAATGAGGTAAATGAAAATAAAGAAGAAAGCAAGCGAAGGAGGCATAGGAGGAGACAAAGGAATGAAAATGATAATGAGGAATAAGAAATAGGAATGAAGCAAGAGAGGAGAACGACTGATATAAACAAAGAATGAAGAAAGGAAGGAGAGTGAGGAAAGAGAATTACGAAGGAAGGAAGTAGGGGAAAGGATGAAAATCAGAATGGAAGTAACGAACGGGACTAACGTGGAATCAAAGAAGGAGAATAAGAAAGAAAGAAAGGAAGAAAGAGAAATAAAAAAATGAATAAGGGGAAAGGAGGAAACCAGAAAATGAAATCAAGAAAAAGTAATAAAAATGGATAAAAAAAATGATAAATAGAACCTATAAAAAACGAAACAGGGAGGGAACAATAAAACTTTTAATAGAAAATCAAAAGTAAGAACACCCACAGTTTCCCGTCCAAGAAATATGAATAACAAAAAAAGATTCAAAGGGAAATAGATGTATATGAAAAAGGAAAAAAAAAACTAAAACCAGAAAAAGGAAACAGAGAAAGAATCAAACTCGACTCCACAGGAATAGGCTTCCAGTCCACAGCAGAGGAAGACACAACGAGAAAGAGAAATAGCAATAATAATAATAGTAATAATAATAATAATAATAATAATAGAAGAAAAAAACAAAAAAAAAGAAAAGCATCAAGAAAGAGGAATAGACAAAAAACAAACAAAAAAAAATAACAAAAGAAAAGGAAAATATAGACCGGGAAA